TGGCTGGGAAAACAGGAGGAGGCAGAGGGCGGGCCCCGGGCCTCCTGGCTTGAGTGGCCGAGCACAGCCTGTCCTGTCTGCGTCCCGCCCTGCAAGGTGGCGGCCGAGCATTGCTGGGCACGGGGACTTTGGAGTCACCCGCACTGTCTCTTGCCGTCCCAGGCGCCTCTGGCAGCACACTTCCCTTCCCCACCCGCGTCTGTCGCCATCTTCCTGCTCCCGTCCACAAGGGCCGGCGCGGCGCAGTGACCGATGAGAACAAACAGCATCGGCCCAGACTCTCAGCAGCCATCTCCCCGAAAGATCAAGGTCAAAGGAGAACGCTGAAAGGGTGCTTCAACTCCTATGCCACTTCAGCCGAGTGTTTGGTTTTGTTTTTAAAGGAAAGCAAGCTCAGACTCTATTAGGCATCAGTGCTGCTTCGGTTGTCACTTCTCGGCGAGAAAAGGGATTGTTGCAATTAAAATGGATTTGGGACATTGCCCTTCTCTGAACGAGTACATTGAGGACAATCGCCCATGTGGTGATGTTTTGGATTCAGGCCCTTAAAGAGGATGGAACATAGTGGTCTTGAACGGTTCGGTGTTGGTTCTTTGATACCAGCCGGGTCTGTCAGACTTCCCTGGTTCTGGCTGCTGTTACTGGGTCAGTTGACTCGGACCAGCTCAGCCACTTCTAAGGAAAGGAATGCACTTCTTTCTGCTTTTTCTGGAACCTGAAGGAGAGAGACAGGCAGACACCCCCCACCCCACCTGCACCTGCAAGGCCCGCCCGGGGATGCTGGCCTTTCCCTCAGACCCAGGCGCTCATGGCCTTAGCCTAAAGCGTCTTCCCATCTTATGATGTTAACAGAGCTAATCCTCTGCCCCTCCTTGCCCACTCCCTACGACTCCCCACACCTTAGACGGGGCTTCCCTAAATCCTTTATGCCCCTGATCACCCACAAGGGTGACGTGCATGCCTATTGTGTGTCCCCGCCTTTTAGGATCCGCCACTTGGGCTGCGAAAAAAAGAAGAAGAATATGTAGCCACAACCTGCTTAAGATAGAGACTATTATCATACGGGTTCTCTATTTCTATGCAAACAATTATGGCCAAAACTTAGTGGTGCAAAACAGCCAACATTTGTGATCTTGGGCATCGAATCGGTGAGTGAGGAGTCTGGGAGCAGCTCGGTGGGTTGATTCTGGCTGAGTCGAGATGTGCGGCAGGGAGACCGTCATCTGACGGCTTGACTGGGGCTGGGGGGGCCACTTGGAAATGGACCTCACAGGGCTGTGGGCAGGAGGCCTCAGGTGTGGCCCAGGGAGCTCTCCGTGGTGCTGACAGCACCCATACACCTGGTCCGTGGGGGAGCTCTCCGTGGTGCTCACAGCACCCACACACCTGGTCCGTGGGGGAGCTCTCCAGGGTTCTGAGAGCGCACCCACACACCTGGTCTATGAGAGCTCTTTTTAGTGCCCATTCAAGGGGCCCCTACCACATCTGGTCAGGGGTGGAGTGGGGGTGAGCTCTCCATGGTGCCGATTGAGGTCCACATGGGGGAGCTCTCCGTGGTGCTGACAACACCCGCGCACCTGGTCCGTAGGGGGGAGCTCTCCAGGGTGCTGAGAGCTCACACCTGGTCCGTGAGGGCCTCTTCATAGTGCCCATCAAGGGGTCCCCACCACATCTGGTCGGGGTGGGGTGGGGGAGCTCTCCACCCCACCCCGAGGTGCACGATCTGGTCCACTCGGGGAGCTCTCCGTGGTACTGACTGAGTGTCCACACAACATCTGGTTGGTGCTCGGGGCGGGGGCTCTCCGTGGTTCTGATTGTCCTCACAGCACGGCAGCCACTTCCCTGAGAGGGTACAAAGAGGGCGGGGACCTGTGCTGGGCAGAAGGAGGTATGGCCAGGCCCTCGTGGCTGAGAAAAGCCAAGCACCCCAGCCCTGTTTGCTTCCTCGTATTCAATTCCATCTGCAGGGACGGAGCAGACCCTCCCGGCTGTGCCTGGCTGGGTGCTGGACTCAGAGCCAGTTGGGGAGGCAGCAGCCGACCCCAAGGGCCTGTCCAGGTCTCTGCGTCCACGTCTTCAAGGTGGACTGTCCGTGCAGCAGGGCAGGTCGTCAGAATAACGCCTCTGCTTTAGCCACCGCACGTGAGGGGTCCCAAGAGGGTGGGGGAGGCACTGCAGCTGAGCAAAGGAAATGCATCATTTTCTTTGGAGAAAATGGAAAGTGGTGCTGGGCCCGGGGTGGTGACCTTGCCCTGCAGTTAGCCTGCTGCCGGGAGATTAGAGCAGACGGGCACGGGAAGAATGCTAATGAGTCGTGGTGGGCGGGAGCCCAGAGCCCGGTGCCTCCCCGGCCACCGGGGTGCTTGCCGATGCCTATAAATAAACACTTAAAACCCAGTTCTCAATCGAGTTCCGATGCTGGCCTGGCTCTGCGGGCGGGAGAGCGTGTTATGTAAGCAATGCTCTGAGTCCTTCCAGAACCGGCTGAGGGTTCTGAGCTCGGGGGGGTCTGGAGCATGGGGGGTGCTCAGGCTGCTATGAATGAGACCTACAGGCAGAGAAAACGCTGGCCCCTCCCTCCAGGTGTGGGCAACCCCGGGTGGCAGCAGGCAGGCCTCACCAGGGCAGGGAAGCCCGGCCCAGCCCGCAGACCGCTCCGAGTGCCTGGAGGAAGCGAAGCGGGAGCGGGGGGGTGGGGGGGCCTCCTGGGCACACGGTCATCTCGTAGGCCCACGGCGCTCGGGCCGGCGCTGCTCAGGGGTTGAGTGGCAGCCTAGGAACCAGGAGCTCATGGTTGGAACCCCCGTCAGGTCACAGGCCCGGGTTGTGGGCTCGATCCCCAGGAGGGGGCATGCAGGAGGCAGCTGGCCCATGATTCTCTCTCACATGGATGTTTCTCTTTCTCTCTTCCTCTTTCTTTAAAAACCAGGAAACATATTTTTAAAAAAAGACTAATAAGTCCCCATCTTCTTGCACGACTCCAGGCTTTCTGCTCATCTGCTTCCCCACCCCGCAAGGAATCTCGCTCCAACCCAGGGCCCTGCCTCCAAGTCCTTCACCTGAGGGCCTTTCCCTGCGGTTTGCGTTTGCATTTGAGAGCAGCCTGAGGCCCACGGCCCCTTTCTCTTTGCTGTAGGAAACCACCCATCCCAGAGGCAGGGTGGGCTGTGCACCTGGGCAGGGGAGACAGCAGGGCCTGCCTCTCCCTCTCCTCTCCTCTCCTCCACCCCAGCCCCAGCCCCCACGGGCACACCCTCCTGGTCCGAGAGTGTCCCCTAATACGGGTTCTGTGAATCCGTGGAAATGCATATTCATGAGGGCGTGAGGAGCCTCATTGAAATGCACGCAGTCTCTCCTTCCTGAGTGAAAGTGAGCGGACCCTTTATTTGCGTCCCTAGGGCTGAAGTGAGGTGGTTTTTTTTACTTTGTTTCTGGTCATTTCTGACCCTCGCCTTAGAACGATCCCCGTGCACTGTTACAACGTCTCCCACTCACTCACGTTTCTGTACGGGTATCGTTGCCGAAGTGAAAGTAACTCCCTCTTTTTATTCTGTTTTATTCCAGAAAGATCTCATCGCCCGGAGGGTCTCCCCGGCCTTGCCGACCACTCGTTTTCGGTAGGAGATGGGGGCCCACGTGGAGTGAGTCTTGTTCTGCTGACGACGTGTGTGACGTGGGATGGTTTTGCTGGAGGGAGGCCCTTCGGGGGGAGGACGTGGGGGCTCCTGGCTGGGGTGGTGGTGAGAACGAGCCACCTTCCGGGTGGTTGCGCGTCGCACTCAGCGGCTCCCCACGCAGCCTCCTGCCCTGGAGGAAGACAGGAAAGGACGGGCCGGCCCTCGCGATTTGCTTCTGGACTTGCCGTGTGCGCCTTCAGAGACTCGAGAAATCCCTGCTCTGACACCCAACCTTCTTTTCCCTCTCTTTTAAGTTGCACGTCGGGAGAGAAAAAAAATTCCCTGACACTTTTTTCTAAAAGTTGAAAATGTGTTAAGAAACCAGCCCTAGGAGCTGCGACTAGGTCGAGCCCAACCTCGTCCGTGTGATTAAGTTGAGGGAAGCTCGTCCTCTCTGGATGTAACTTTTTATTAATGATACTCAGGTCTAATTAACTGGATCTCGTTCTCATTAACGACACGAGAGTCTCGGCTGGAATTCTCAAAGGGAGCTCTGCGTCGGGAGTCCCGTCGGGTCCCAAGCCAACGGTGACCCGCGTTGAGATCAGGCCGGGGCGCCCTGTCTGTTCCGCGTCCCCCAGCACAGAAGTAACTTCGTTTCCGAAGTGACGTTTACACACGTGCTCCCGGAGGCACCAGCGAAGCTGCCTGAAGCCAGAAGGGTTCTTGAACCACCGCTTGTGCTTGGGCCGGAGACAGGCAACATCTCCGACAGCCCTCCGTCCTCCGGAGCCGGAGCCGTGCCGCGGGGTCCCCTCCGTGTCCTCCCGACGGTCTGGGCTGCGGCAGACGCACTTCCCGCCCTGGGGGACACGTCACTCAGTGTCCCTCCGTCACTTGACCCATTTTCGGGGGAAATGGTGCTGGCGGGAGGCAGCCCGAGGCCCCGCCCTGCTCTGAGGGGAGGAGGCTTCCCGGCCTGAAGCCGCGGGTTTGTGTGTGTGTGTGTGTGTTTAAGTATCTGTTGCTTCTTTTTTGTGTATTTTTAAATACGTTCCTATTGATTTTAGAGAGGGAAGGAGAGGCAAAGAGAGAGGAACATCCATGATGAGAGAGAATTGTGGATCGGCTGCCTCCTGCACACCCCCTACCGGGTATCGAGCCCACAGCCCAGGCATGTGCCCTGATCAGGAATCGAACCCAGGACCCTTCAGTCTGTCGGCCGATGCTCTATCCAGAGCCAAACCAGGCAGGGCGTCTCTCTGTGTCTGAGAGCAAACAACCAGACCCTTTGACCTTGGCCTGTGTCCCCTGTGTTTTCAGGGTGCGGGCGTCTGAGGATAGTTGGAGCCACGCCTGTCCTCCTCTCTGGCCCCGTGCCTCATGCTCTCTCTCTGGCACGGCTGGACTGGCTTCTGACAGACGTGCCAGCTGGGGTGGGAGGGCACGCTCCTTGAACAGATCTGCGGCAACAGGGCTGCAGGAAGCGCCCGGAGGGTCCCCGTTGCCGCGTGGGGTGCTGACGGCTCTCTCCGACCTTCCTC